CTGCCAATGTTTATAAGCCCGCGTACAAGGCCGCATCCCTCGTCCATCAGCCAACCGTCACCACTGCCTATCAGCCCACTTCTCCGTCCCACAAGGGTACCACTGCAGCGTACAAGCGCACTTTTAAGCCTGCTGCCCCAACATACGGGACAGCTGCCCCTGCTTATCAAGCAACTGCGCCTGCATATCAGTCCACTGCCCAGGCCCATCAACCTGACTTCAAGCCTGCTGCCCCTGCGTACAATGCCCTTCCTCTTTCCTACACTCCTGCCTCTCTGGTCTACACATCTGCTGCCCCGGCCTACACAACTGCTGCGCCGGCGTACACATCTGCCGCCCCGGCCTACACATCTGCTGCCCCGACCTACACATCTGCTGCCACGGCAGACAAACCAGAGGCCGCTCCGCACAAGTCCTCGACTGCTGCTTACAACTCCTCCCACAAGACGGCTGTCACGACCTACAAGCCGGATGTGGCCTATTAGAAGCAAGCAAGTTGTGTTGGCGTTTTGAAGCTGTCGTTATGATGTGACGTTTTGCGATGTGTATGCAAGGAACATTTTTATAAGACAGGGATTTCATTGATGCTGTTCTTTTTTGTTGGCAAACACAAATTAACAACCAATGCATTCAACATCACACCATACACACACCAACATCAACAACATCACACGTCATCATGTTGATGTGTTGACATACACACATCAATAACCAATCAGAAGATGACACAGCTGTACTCTGTGGTACGTGATAATGCTGGCCGTGTCGTATTTCGAACGTACTGTTGTGCACGTTGCAAAACGTAAACAACATTTGGATGAACTTGTCCACAGTGGTGATGCTGGACAGTGGCAGACTTTTTAGAAAATCCTTGCAACTTAGACTATAGTTTGACTGGAACAGAGGGCCTGTGTTTAAGTCACAATTGTTCAAAAATGCCTACTCGACGCTCATTGATCAGACGACTGATCGCCCATTTGACCGAACCCAAATCATTTGAAGGGTAGGTCTGGCCCGTGCATGATATCTGATTATCATGTCCACGGCGTCGACGGCCATTCGTGCATGGTGTTCCGTATGGGTATAGCTGCTCCTTCAAAGGACTTGGACAGGACTTAAAAACACCAGCACTAACAGGTCTCCACGGGTCACTGTGGTGACCTGACACTAACAGGTGACACTAACACATCAGTCCGCCCCACCGGCAGGTCTTAAGTCAATCACACTAGCAGGTTGTCAGCCCGTGGAATCTGAAGAAGTTATGTTGAGCTCTGTTCTATCACCGCATGATGATGCAAAGGAAAAGCTGCTATTTCAACTCGGTGCGACCGCCAGTTCAACTCAGCTCGGCATCGAGGTGGTCAGCCGGCGCACAAGGAGCCGCGGGCCTGGCGGGCGGCGATGGCAGTGACGCGTGCCGACAGACCTCCTCGACATCCACCGAACGTCCGAGGCGAGCTGGCGCCGGCGAGGCGGGCCAGAGGCCGCCGGCCTACCCGAGGCGGCTCGAGCGGCGGAGCCCGGACCGAGCCGTCGCGACGCCGGCGCAGCGCACCTCCTAAACAGAAGCACCAGTGAGTGGATTGATCGCGAGTCGCTGACCACGGCGGGTTAGCGGCTCTAAGTGGACCATAGCATATTCAATGCAACGTATCTAAACTGGCCTCACAAAACGTCTGCTGGTGATCTGGTACAGCTGACCCTGCAAAGCATGCCTAACTTAGTTGTCCAGCCGTCATGTCAGTGGATCAGTTGCTTTAGGATACTTCACGGTGTTCCAATGTTCGGTCACTTGGGGGTGGCGTGGATTTCGATATTTTTTCATGCCATTACACCCCGGCTCATTACACTAGTGGCTCACTGCCGATCACCCCTCTCTTTGTTCGAAATCAGCCAATCAGCATCGAAATGCACAGCTGTTAAACCAGTATCTATGCGCCTCAGGCTTGACAAATGGACTGATGAGGTCAGATGGCTGGTACGGGGTCAAAGGGCAACGGATTAGCGTTAACGAATCGCGTGCAGGGCCGCCGCCGGAGAGGCAACATTCTAGTAGCATGAATTTATATTTACATCCTGCACACCCTACTGAACGAGTTTTAGAACGCTGATACTCCAGGACAAGGAAGATAACCGACATTCTTGCAAGTGGAAACGAAAATATCTTGCGAGCCTTCACAGAAGGCACCATGACCATGTCACTCACGCAGACATCGAGAGCCACATAACCCCATGACCATCTGACATGACATCTTGATCCCCTCGTGGCACTTTAAACGTATGTTACATGCTTCCCACGGCTTGGACGTGGTCTAACAACCAGGGAGGAGGTCTGCTCAGCCCTTAGACGGTCACAAGTCATAGGTGTGACCATGTTCTGATAACCACATGCCAAGCAGTTTCCGCGTGATACTTTCATGGGTTACCACTTGTTTTATGGAATAGATATTAAGGTCACCGCCTTGATTACAGACACCTTGTTTTCAGGAAAAGAATCATCACAGTCATCCCAAAAAAAAATTTAAAGAGCTTCCAAAGATGCAATGCTGTTAGCACCAGCAGTCCATGACAGGACATAGCTAATAATTTAATACTTTGTGGTCTCAAGCTTTGGTTTATGCGGACGTCTTTTCTGACAGCCGGATGAGAGACATTTTGACCAAAAACGTAGGATTACCTCCGTCAAAACCGCGCGACTCGGACAATTTTTTGTATTTACGTAACGCAGCTCAAGACACGACAAGCATCATCATGAAATTATTAATGGATTTAACTGAATAACCGCTCTCATTCTGTGACCTGCACGTCGCAGGCTCATATGCCGCAACCGAATTGCTATAAGTAGGCTACGCAGGCGTACGACAACTTTGGAGGCTTGCGTCCAGACCACAAGGTTTAAGCGCCTCATTGTATTGAAGTGCAAACGGCGAGAAATCATCACAACTCAAAATTTATGAAATTCCACAGATGGTCGTTCTCACTGTTTGGCTAGTATGCCAGAGGCTTGTGTGCCGGGGCGGAATGGCTGTACGCAGGTTTGTGAACAGCCTTGTAGACCGGAGCGGCAGCCTTGTAGGCAGGAGCGGGGTGGTACTGGGGGTACTGGGCCTCTCCCTCGTAGGTTACATCAGCGTTGTAGCCACCGTAGTTGTCGGCGACGTACTTGACGTGCTGGACACGGCCGTCGGGCAGAGCCACCGAGTAATATCCCTGGGTGTTGTGGCCATCGCTCTCCTCCTTCTTGGCGAAGTTGGTGCCTGTGTAGTGATCGTTGACAGCGTAGTCGTAGGCGAACGGCTTGGCCTCCTCCTTATACTGGGGCTCCGGGTGGTAAGAGGCCGGCTTGTAGGAGGGGGCCGGGTGGTAGGGGGCCGGAGAGGACTTGTAGCCCGGCGTCTCCGGTGCCGGGGCGGCGGCGGCGACAGCCAGCACGGCGGCAACGACGAGGACCTGCAATGTGGTAGAGAATGTGTGATATATCAAGCGGTTACTTTAGTAACGTAGTTTTGACGCGAAGCATCTGTGCAATTTCAGTCACATCGCGAATCCCACAGTGCACTTGGTGTGAAATAAACTGTCTCATAGCCAACAGGACACCACATCAATGGTATTATTTCAGCACATACCTGCATGGTGCGTTCTGATGACTGGGCTTGCAGCGCAAGTGGTGTCTGCTCTCTTGGTGCTTTCGCTTTTATAGGTCGGCCGCTAACCACTGATAGACGGTCACGGTCAGATTCCAGTGAACGGACGCCTCCAACGGTGTCACCGGCTGTGCTGACGAATTTTCACGGAATTCCTGGTACACGCCCACCTCCTAGAAGTAGACCATGATGTGACCCATGACGTTGTATGTGGAAAGGTCATTTAATTTTTATGACGATGAATGGTAAAGAACATGTAGCTTTTGACACAGGGCGTTCGTATCGATCTTTCTTGTCAATGCGCTGAATTCAGAGCAATCATGCCAGCAATTTGGAGCGACGTGTTGAAGCAGTTAATACTTTCCTTAAATCCCCAACTACCAGCTGCTCTTGCCGCGACCAGGTCACGCTTTGGCCCCATCAAATCACATCCGATTCGCTTCATTTTTGGTCGTTGTCCATCCGAAAGTAATTGTGACGTGGGTTAAACGCGACGAGAATTCGAAATTTGGGAACATAGGTATGGTGTATGCGCATGAGAATGGAAATTTGTGGTATTTCATGTCATGGAGATGTCATTCCACACATCATTTCTCAGATAAGCTCAGGCGAGAGCAGAAACTGGGCGCCCAGGTAGATGCCTGCATATGCATGTTTTGTTTCGAAATGTTTTGTACGTAATTAAGCTCTCAATTGACTTCAACAGCTATGAATCGTGTCCTTCTTAAACGTATCGACGCCACGCATATCGGCATGCGCCATTTTCAAATGCGACGATGTTGCCGCACACATAGTGAGGCTTTATTTACACTGCAATATCCGGTTGTGATGTTGGCGAAAACTTGGTCTATAAAACAACTTCAGCTCAAAGCCTTCTAAGCCTAAGCATTCCATGGTGTCCAAGTTTTGGGACGTAAGCAAACCATGTTTCTAAAAAGAGGAAATCAAAGTTACGTGGGTTGCTATGTGCATTTGGGACGAACATTATGCATATAAATAAGACAGCAGGGCTAGTTTTATTCCTCGTCGAAAAAAGGCAGGAGAATGGAGAGATAGATGCGCTGATGTTTCGAAAACATGCCTGCGTCGAAAAAATGAACGAATAACGAATACAAGCGCACCTATTTCTCTATTTTCCTGATTTTTGCGAGCAATACGTCTATTACTACTCTCTTAAGAGTAAATCAGCGTGAAATGCGGCTAAAATGTGTTAACATGTAAGAGATATGACCATGAAAAAGTTGATAGCAAATTCTGAGCGTGTTCTAGATTAGTTCAGGCTATGACATGCTATGGTACTGTTGAAATTTGGCGCAACAAAACGAATTCCTCAGAGGGGGTATACCAACTGACATCATGATCTACTTTGAAACGTTCGTAAAGTGAGTCACAAAATTAGGTAAGGGAGCATTTTAAAAGGCTGTAAATGGAAATGCCTGTGCTGGAAAAGCATTTGGAAATAAACGTAATCATTTAATAATTCATTTACACCGGAACAATGGCGGAACAAGAGAGGTAAAACCGCCAGGCGATTCTCGCTTTATACTCGCTTAGCGTTAGCGTGACGTCACTGGTGCCAAGACCTTAATGCGCATGTGCGACTGGCCGCCAGACTCCGGACGTAATGAGAGGCAAACGGAAACTAGAATCAGTCGTGCGGATAGTCAACAACCCATTTTTAGGAAGGTACATATGACCAGTGAGCCAGAAACGTAGAATTTTTTGGGAAACATGACGATGGGCTTTGCAAGCCTAGGCGGCAAGCTATTGAAATGTAATACCATAGAAATTAAGGACCAACATACGAGCCTTATACGCAATGAGATGGCACGAACATCGGGCTGGGTATTTTGAAGATTCGATCCAAACTGTCTCAATGTATGAATTTCTCACATCAGAGCCCACGCTATTCAGCGCTTGTTGTGTGAGCCCTGACCCTTACCATCCGATCGAGCAATGCCAGGCGACGGCAGAATTAAGCGACGGGAGTTGAACGTGCCGCAATGGTCGGCACGGTCCGTCCCGCCCTCTGACGTCAACTGACCTTTAGCGCGACCGCTGCCACCGGCCGCAGGTCACACCTGTCAAGGCCAAATAGCGAGCGTCTAAAGCGACTCGAACCCACCCCGCCACGGGTGGGTGAATCGGAAGGCAGGCGCTCTAACCAACTGAGCCTTCATCCCAATAAGAAATCAACTTAGTGGCAGACTATCTAACCAGTGAGCCGATAGTGTAGAATTCAACTACAAACTTCATGAAGTGCGTGATAACCTTAAGCGGCAAGCCATTGCACTTCGAACTTACACGGCCTCGTGCCCCGTGGTCGTGACACCGCCGGTGGTGCGAGCGAGTGGCGAACGTGGCGTGTCTGTTGTCTGCTGCATTTAATATTGTCTGCGCTAAGTGTGCCAGTAACATGTTGCAAGGGAATTACATAGTGGAAGAGGGTGCGTATGCTTTTTGTATGCATAGGCTAGTATTTTTTACCAGATAAGCGGAGGTCTGTGCGGGAAGAGTTTTGCCTCTCACGTACTTAGATAAGGCGGATAATGTTTTGTATTTGTAGGGTGCCTTTTTACCTACCTAGGCCCATGACGTTCATGGAGTTACAGATGGTGATGCACCATTTGGCTAGGTGAATGAACTAAATCAAATGAACCAAATTGGCTAAATCAAATGAAATTATGATGAACGTATGACGTCATCAGGCAATTGGCACACAGCCGAATTGCGCTGTCGATTGCATGAGTCGACCACGAACCCTTTTTGTGATAAATTACAGGCATTTTTGCATCTTCAAATTATGAATCTCTAAAGAAAAAGCAAGAAAAGGCGAAAACGGGCTAAAGCACACACAACGACGCTTGCAACACAAATTCTTCGTTTAAATGAACGACGCCAACTTTACAGTGCGTCGAAGCAGACAGGTGAGTCACTCTCCAATTCAGTGGCAACTCTAACATAGCCACTCTGGTCGAGACTCTGATAACTTAAAAACGGTCAAAGACGCTATCAAACAATGCCGTAAAGAACAGCATCAGTAATGAAACCGCGCGATCAACAGCAGACTTTTGTACTTCGCATCGCATGGCATGAGTCGAGCGTGTATTAAGGAGAGGCTACGGATCTGTGCCAACCCACGTTGACACCAGCCCAGCAGATGATAACGCGCCGGGGGCAGTCTGTTCAGTGAAGTAAGACCGTGGCCTTCTATCGGTGGTTGGCGGCAGACCTATAAAGGCGAATGTACTGCAGAAGCAGGCACCAGTTTCACTGCATACTCGGCCACGAAAATACAACATGCAGGTATGTGCTTGAACTATATTGTTGATGAAGCAATATGTCGAGTGTTACAGATTTTTTTCCGGCAAATGCATCGTGGTCGGAAAAATAACAATGATGCTGGAATGAACAAGCCATTGATAACATATCTTCTATGGCATTGCAGGTCCTCGTCGTTGCCGCCGTGCTGGCTGTTGCAGCTACCGCCCCAGCTCCATATACGCCGGTGTACAGGCCCGCCCCGGCCTACAAGCCGGCCTCTTACCATCCAGAGCCTAAGTACAATGAGGAGGCCAAGCCTTTCGCTTACGACTACGCCGTCAACGACCACTACTCGGGAGCCAACTTCGCCAAGAAGGAGGAGAGCGATGGCCACAACACCCAGGGATATTACTCGGTCGCTCTGCCCGACGGCCGTGTCCAGCACGTCAAGTACGTCGCCGACAAGTACGGCGGCTACAACGCCGAGGTCACCTACGAGGGAGAGGCCCAGTATCCCGAGTACCAGCCCGCCCCTGCCTACAAGGCTGCTGCTTCGGCTTACAAACCTGCTACTGCTCACAATTCTTCCCCTATCTACAAGGTTGCTGCCTTGCCACACAAGCCTGCAACGTACTCGGCATGAGGGATGCCCGGTAAATGCACGCACGAAAATGGTCTTATGACTATGATTATTTATAAATGTCAATAAAGCTGCTGCTCAGACGTCCGTGTTGTTATTGCTCATACGCGGCCCATCTCATAAGTCTATATTTGCATGCAGTTGATGGTGGCGTAAGCGTCACATCATCCCTAGACTACCGCACCCGATCTACACTTTATTGGAGCTCGCAGTGGGTTCCTACCGATCCGTCGCGAAAAGGTTTAGTATTCGTAGTCAGAGAAACAGTGACTGCATTTACTTGACGTCGCTGTTCAGACTGGCTTCACCCGTCCGACGATCTCAGTAAATATTGGCATTTTCCACTAGTTATTTGCAAGGGTCAACACTGCTTAAAATTGATTTATCGCACGACTGCCCGCTGTCTGCAATCACTTTTTGCAGTGTTTCTCCCTCAACTGATGTTTTTCTTCCAACAAAATCATTCCGATCTGATTTGTTTCCGTAGTTTCCGTTAAGTGTTCCGTTTCCGTAATTCGGCTTTTGTCTGTGGAATGCTTATGTCCTATGTAAACAAACAAACAAATCCACAATAACAGCAATACCAAGTCTTGGAACATATCTACACATCCCAAGCAACTGGAACACTGCAGCCTCCGTAATTTGTCGCTGACCGCCACGCTGCGCGACTACGAATTCTTTGTTGTAAAGATTATTGGCAAAAGACTCTACCCCCAATCTGGTACGACGAATTCGTCTACGAAACGATGTGGAAAGTGATTGGAGCAAAATGTGTGGTTAATGCAGTGAACCTATGAATATTTGAAATCACAAATAGATGTGAAGAGCAGTATTGAGAGCGAGACATTGAAAAGAAAATGATCAAGCAATCATTTATGCATGCTCATTCTGCATTTTTTCATCCTTGATTATAATCCTGTTGTGATCTGTTAAGCTTGCCTTCTGTTATTGCCGACGAGCTCCGAACTGCATGATGCTCTTACAAACCGTCAACCGATGCTCTAACAAACCGCCCCGTTTCCAGCACTATCATCCCATCCTACCTCATCTGCCTTCTCTTGACCCATCCTTCCTAGTCATCGTCTGATTTTATCATCGCGTCGGCTTTGTTCATAGCTAACACTGTGTTTGAAAGTAATGACGTCATTATCACTCTATGGGTCCTGTGCGTTTTAGAGAACCAGACATTTCTTTAGGCTTTTTTCAAGACGGCATGTGAAGGGCTTCCTGTTCATTGAGGAATACAGTTTGCTATATCCGACTCCTCGTACTCAATACGCATTTTGTAGCCAAAACTGATCTGTTGCAAAGCTGCATTGAGTCGATGGACATGAATCAATAACGTTTCATACAGGTGAACGCTAGCGCTACGAAGTGTAGCTGGTCACTCCAGACATCCCGAAAGTTTGTTAACAGCGAAAGGAAGAAAAAAGACATTGCCGCTCGCCGAGCCATCCTGAGTTGAACTATATGACCCAATCTTAACGTCGACGGCCTGACCTGGCCGCCGTTCAAAACCTATTCCGCTAAAAATTGGTGACGGGGAGAAGACCTCTCCCGAGCGCGTGTTAATATTTGGACACTGGGCGAAGATAACTGTGCAGCTGATGGGTTGAGGACCCTGCATTATGAATGATCTAGCACACGGCTGGCGTGGTATGGCCGTGGTAGGCTATATCTAATAAGTTATACTAAAAAAATAGATTTTCAGCTGCCTGAAGCTGTGCAAAGCTTGACAGAGTATCGCGTATGGGCGTGATGTATTCTTATCTACCTTCAAGAAGCGACAAAAGGCTATGTTTTTCGATGGCAACTGGAAAAGGAGACCTGGCACCCTCCACATCCGCCTTTCATCACTTGTAGCGCCGGTCCGGGGGGCCTATAAGATCTCTCCCATACGCTGCATCCTTGGCTGTGTTTCCGATCCCAGCATTGCGGTGACGCAAATTATGACAGTTTCTTCATCTGGTATAGATTATTTGTGGACCGCTTTTCATACCTTGCCAGGGGATCAGGGAGACAAGGCCTGGATGGATTAGATAATACCAGGCTGAATCCAGGCCGATCTCTGTAGCATCCGATCTCAAGTAACAAATGTGATGCATTGTCCTCGCAGTTCTCAACCTCTAGTGGTTTTTCCAGAACGGCCATAAACAGCTTGATCCTCTTGTGCTAAAAAAACAAGGCCTTTGGTAATGACAGGACAATGAAAATTGCTGGGAAAACGGAGCCACGATGGGCATGATGCCTGAGCAGCGAGTCGATGGTTCTTCATGAAATTCCGCATCCACTGTTTTTACTTCCGCACACACGGCATCTACAGGAAGTGACGATCTGTGTCAATCAGCTGGCTTTTCCGCCCACTTTCGTACTTGCGGTACATTTTTGATGATTTTACATGTTCTTTCTACATTGCACAGTGAGTTGTGCTGGGCAGCTTGCCCTTTGCATCAGACGGGTTGCAGAGCTATTCAGAAACGGTTCTTCCAGATATTACTTGTTATGTATTCCGCATTGCAACCAATCACGCTCTGTCATTGGTTTCTACGGAAAGCTACCGTTTCGATCTTCAACATCCATTCCCAAACCTCTGCGCGCGACGTCCTAGCTCGGTGTCACGGATCTGGGGAGAGCAGTAAGCGCCCGAGGCTGCTGCCACTGAGACGGGTCAGCGGCCGCAGGGTCGCCGCGTGCGGGAGGGGCGTGACCAACAGGGAGTGGTCGTGAAAGCCCAGCTGATGGTCCATCGCCAAACGGTGGCATGTGGAGGGATTGGACCGTGACCTCAGGCTATCAGCGGCTTGGAGCTGGTGATAAAAAGCGAAGGCCTTGTCAAGAAGGTATCAGTTGCACTGCATTTTCCGCCATCAAAGCTTGTAGCATGAAGGTGCGCACTAGTGGTTCAACTAGAAGTACGATATTGTTCACAATGGTGGTCATCTCATCTGCATTTCTGTGCATACAAAGTGAATGAGATGTCAAATTCAGGCTATGAATCATAAGTACAGGAGCTATATAGCTACGAGGAACTTCTCAAAAACACTTAAAGACACGATATCAGCTCCAATCAGGAATGAATTTCAGTGGGTATAACGAACTACATTTCCACCTTCAGGTCTTCGTCGTCGTCGTCGCCCTGGCCACCGCCGTCGCCGCTGCCCCGGCTCCCGACACCCCGTCATACCACCCAGAGTACCAGTACAAGGAGGGGGCCAAGCCGTTCGCCTACGACTACGTCGTCAGCGACCACTACACCGGCACCAACTTCGTCAAGAAGGAGGAGAGCGATGGCCACAACACCCAGGGATATTACTCAGTGGCTCTGCCAGACGGCCGCATCCAGCACGTCAAGTACGTCGCCGACAAGTACGGCGGCTTCAACGCTGAGGTCACCTACGAGGGAGAGGCCCAGTACCCCGAGCATCACCCCGCTCCCGCCTACAAGGCTGCTGCTCCGGCCTACAAGTCTGCTGCCAATGTTTACAAGCCCGCGAACAGGGCCGCTACTCTCGTCCATCAGCCAGCCGTCACCACTGCCTATCAGCCCACTTCCTTGTCCTACAAGGCTACCACTCCAGCCTACAAGCGCACTTTTAAGCCTGCTGCCCCAACATACGGGACAGCTGCTCCTGCTTATCAGGCAACTGCACCTGTTTACCAGACAACTACCCAGGCCCATCAGCCTGACTTGGAGTCTGCTGCCCCTGCGTACAATGCTCTTCCTCTTTCCTACACCCCTGCTGCCCCGGCCTACACATCTGCTGCCCCGGCCTACACAACTGCTGCGCCGGCGTACACATCTGCTGCCCCGGCCTATACATCTGCTGCCCGGACTACACATCTGCTGCCCCGGTAGACAAACCAGAGGCCTCTCCGCACAGGTCCTCGACCTCTGCCTACAAGTCCTCCCACAAGACGGCTGCCCCCGAGCTTTAAGCCGGGGTGTGACGTATTAGGAGCGACCAATTTGTGTTGGCGTTTTGAAGCTGTGCGTTGTGATGTGACTTTATGCGATGTATATACAGGGAACGGTCTGTTTAAAGAGAGCTTTTCTCGAAGCTGGTCTTTTCTGTTGGCACGCATATGTCAACAAGCAATGCATTCTGGGAAGATAGCACAGCTGTGGTCTGTGGTATGTGACAATACTGGTGGTGTCGTATTGCAGAAGTCCTGTAGCGCACGTTGTAGGACGCGAACAATATTTGGATGAGCTTGTCCGCAGCGGTAATGCTGGACATTGGAAGACTTTTGAGAGAATCCTTATAACATCGTTGCCCTTGAAAGGGAAGGCAGTGTAAGGGCCACACTCGTTAAAATATGCATATTCGGACCACCTAGATGGCTTATTGCCGGGCTGACCAAACCTATATCATTTGAAGGGCATGTTCAGCCCGTGCATGATCTCTGATTATCATGTCCACGGCATCGACGGCCATTCGTACAAGGTGTTCCGCGTGGGTGTAGGTGCTCTTGTAATATACTTGGATGGGATTTGAAAATATTAACAGATCTTCAGTTGGTCCATTGGCAGGTCATCAGTCAGTCACACTGGCAGGTCATTAATCAGTCACACTGACAGGTCAGCAGTCAGTCACACTAGCAGGTCATTAGTCAGCCACACCAGCAGGTCATCAGTCAGTTATGCCGTCAGGTTATCAGTGAGTCACATTAGCAGGTCACCAGCCTCTGGAATCTGAACATCCTGAGCTCCCTGCTATCGCCGCATGATGACGCAGAGGAAAGTTACTATTCGACTCGGTAACGCGGTACGCTGCACTTCGACGGTGATTTTCACGAAAACCATGGTGCAAAAAAGCTGTATGTATCCAATGTATTAATGACATCTACGCCAACGTTTTCAGTCACGATAATCGACGCACGGTACAGACTAGCAGCACTGAAGCTCTTTACAGACCAGCGAGGGCCACATCCGTCGCTAACAAGCAGGCAGTGTTCGGTTTATTTGTCGCGTGCGACCGCCAGCTCAGCTCGGCTCGGCATCGAGGTGGTCAGCCGGCGCACAAGGGGCCGCGGGGGCGATGGCAGTGACGCGTGCCGACAGACCTCCTCGACATCCACCGACCGTCCGAGGCGAGCTGGCGCCGGCGAGGCGCGCCGGAGGCCGCCTGCCCACCCGAGGCAGCTCGAGCGGCGGAGCCCGGACCGAGCCGTCGCAGCGCCGACGCAGCGCACCTCCTAAACAGTAGCACCAGTGAGTGGATTCAGCGCGGGCCGCCGACCACGACGGGACAGAGGCGCGCTCAGAGCTCGCCCTTGGTCGCCTTGTAGACGCCGACCCGAGCGGCGGCGCGCGTCTCGCCCTTGCCGTTGCGCGCGATGCACGTGTAGGTGCCCGAGTCGCTGGGCTTGAGGTCGACGATCTGCACCCAGCCGGTCACCATCAGCTTCTCAGGGCCGCCGCGGGTCTGGATCGCCATGTCCTCGCGGTCACCTGGTGGCGAAGATGAGAACCAGTGGTTAAGTAGCCACCAACAGAGGGCGAACGTTTCGTTTTCAACTTCCCAGGCGGGCAATGTTCCTCGCGGCCCTGCAGCGACAGCCGATTCTGAACGACGCAGCTGAGATTGCGCCTCTGCCGAATTGGTCCAACGGCGCAACGAGCTCAACTGGTGTCGCGAAGGGCAGCGCGGACTCTAAGCCGGGACGGACGACGCCCGGACTGTACGGCGCGATACGGGGGTCAATGGATGAGGGTCCCAGAGTCGCAGGGAACGGCCAAGGGAGCCGGTAGTCCCTTGGTCTGGGCTGCGATGGTCTGCTCTACCTCCGCGGTATGTGCGCGCACATCAGCCTCTCGGTCGCAGCATGCGGAATCAGACATTCACACATAGCGATGCCACGGTAGCCAAGATAACGACACTCTGATGTGTATTGCACGTTAATGGTTTGCTAATTAAAATGATGCATTGGATGACACCCAGGCGCGGGTAAATTCATTTGGGAAAAGCCGAAGTGGATGTTTGATAATCTGCATTGTTAGTGGTCACAGCTCTCCAAACGGTTTCGTGATCTACAGTGGGGGCAATCTGCGTGAGAAACAAGTGAGCTTCGCACAAGATGTGTTAGGCTTAGGACAGGTTTAGCGTGGAAGCTTGCATCGGATAACATTCTCTTGAGCTAACCCACCCGCGAGCCGTTCCCTGTCAGCTGTGCCCAACCACTCTCATCCGTTTGTAGTTTTCCAGCACCTTTGATTAAAATTGTGAAATATGTCAGGAGTGGGTTATACCAAAGCCTGCTCTTCAACGTTGTGTTAGTTGCATAACCATCGTGAATGAAGCAGTGATGACGAGAGTTAGGAGGCTCAGGTAGTAACATCATGCAGTATTTATTGAAATTTCTACCATACATTTCGTGAACTCCTACCAAAACCTTATTCCGGAACTTGATTTTCCAAAAATCTGTGTTTAGCTGATCCCGCTACCCATTCCATAAGAGTATCTCTGACTTTACCCAGCCCGTGAGGTCCTCTAGTCCAGAGCTTTCTGCTGGACGGCAGCGATGCCGTTTTCAGGGGCATCTCCGCCTGTGCAGTGGTCCAGTCTGAGCCTGCCTCTGCGGCCCAGCATGAGGCCGCCCCTGCGGCCCAGCATGAGGCCGCCCCTGCGGCCCGGCCATGAGGCCGCCCCTGCGGCCCGGCATGAGGCCGCCTCTGCGGCCCGGCATGAGGCCGCCCCTGCGGCCCGGCATGAGGCCGCCCCTGCGGCCCGGCATGAGGCCGCCCCTGCGGCCCGGCTTGAGGCCGCCTCTGCGGCTTGAGTGACATCACAGGCCGTTCCCCGCCCTGCCCACTCAGTGCAGTCTGGATCGCGTCGGCCCGGCGCCGCCGTCGGGGTGCTGCAGAGGAATGTAAACACGGCTCTGGGTTCAGCTGACATCACCCGCCGCGGCGGAGACGCTCAAGGTACCGCAGGGCGTGGGCTCTCGTCCTGCGACGCGGACCGCATTCCATTCAAGGTGTGTGCATGACGTTCGTGAAAATGTTGCTCACAATCTACACTATCCTCCGATTGCGTTTGCAGGCGCAGGGGTAGCTTCAAGAGAAAGTGCACGGGTCGCCAACATGACTGAAATGAGCCCTATAATGACTGTTGACAGCATGCAGTCGTTTTAGGTGGATCGTTTCCAGCCCGCGACAAGTCGGATGCCTCCAAAGTCGGCAGCTCTCGCCGGAGCTGACTCCGCCTCCGACGCTTCCGGCCCGGCTGGCGCCGTCCAGAGTTCAAAACTTCAGACGATACGACCGAGGCCGCCGACCAAGGACAGACGCGCAGCCCCTCGCAGCCAGCCATCCACCTACACGCCCACACGCGCGCACACACACACACACACACACACACACACACACACACACACACACACACACACACACACACACACACACGAACACACTCCGTCTTTTGAAAACGTTGACAATAGCTTGCCATCGGAGAAATGCCCCTTGGTGCACGAGTTCAGTCCCCAGACACGAGAGCCTCCTCCCCGAGTTCTCAGGTTTCCGCCGCCCGTGCCACTGCGGCCGGCTGTTTGCTCAGTGCCCGCCATTGTCCTGCCGACACGCACCGATAGCGCCGCCTGGCAACCGGCGCCGGTACTTCAGCTGCACAGCGCGCCGGGGCACGTGGGGATGTGGCAACGAAACTATCGTGTGCCCCTCGAACAATTCCCCTTTTTAATGCCGGGAATAGGGGACTTATTCCGCGCAACGCAACTGGCTCCACGCAGCAGATGCTTCATGCAATCACGTGATGTTGAACACGGCGGCCCCTCCGGTAGTTTCGTGGCGTGACGGCCGCGTCCCTCAATTCTCCGCACGTCTGATAGCGCAGTTGGCTACAGCGGGGCGGGCGCCGACGTGACCAGTGGCGCACAATCCGGCGCAGGTCTCCAGTCAGCAAAACAACTCCTCTGGCGGCCTGGAGTCCCTCCTGGCCTGCGTCCCAGCTGTATCCGCTGAGACGGTCTGTGGCCGGAAGTGAGACCGTGACGTAGGCACGAAGGCACGTTCCGGGACAGCGACCAGAGGCCAAACCAAATAAAGTGACAATCTACGGTGGCACACTGCCCTCACTTCGACGCAGTATTGGCAATAACAGCCCAAATCTTTCGATCGAAAAGCAAAGCAACGTGAAGCCGTCCGTCCCTTTCTGTCGAGCCCACGGCATGGGAGCCGCTCCGGCCGGGTCGCGTGCTCAGCACCGGGCGTAGCCGGCGCCGGCCGGGCCGCGTTGGCGGCGTGGACGCAGCGCGGCCGGCCGTGCCGAGCTACGCCCGGCGCAGCCCAGCCGGGGGTGGCGGGCTGCCAGCCGCGGCTGTGGCGACGGTCAGTCGTGACTAACCAACAAACAAACCACCCACAGGCCTTGCGCGGTCCGGCGGGCACGTCCGTCCGGAGCGTCACGTGACCGGGCGGCAGCTGCAGGGCGGCGCGCCGCATCTGGCCGCCCCCCGCGTCGTCGGCACGGCTGCAGGCCGTCCCCCGCCTCCACTTACACAGCGCCCCGCGCGCGCCCAGCGCCCCGCCCCCCCCCCCCCCCCCCCTCCCTCCCCGTGGCGGCGGCGGCGGCGGCGCCGGAACGCCTTCGGCGGCCGCCAACGGGCAGCTGACGCACCGGCTGCTCCCCCCCCCCCCCATCCCCCTCCCGGCCGGCCTGGGCGGATCCAGGTCACCAGGCATGATCCAGTTCATGTCTGATGATCCCGGAGTAGGCGGTCGATGAGCTGCGCAAGATCAAACGCTTCAGCGGTGCGGAAGCCGCTGGTCTAAGCTCACGTCCAGCATTAATTCCTGCCCGGCGTGTCCATCCATTGTAATGGATAAGAAGCGATGGCCGTCTAGACGTCCCCTTAAAAGACATGAATTTGTAAACAGTGCGAATTCAGCAGGTCATTGGGAAGGCTATGATGCAGGGAGG